AATCGTTGATATCCAGACTGGAATTTTTAAGTAGTATAATCTTTTAACCTTTTCCCAGTTTAATAACAAAGCCTCACTTATATAATGTCTTCTAAAATAGCCATGTGCTTTAGTTCCCTTGTACCCTTGAACGTTCTGCGCATGTGTGAGTTTGGAATGGCCGCTCCGCTTTTTCGCTCCATTTCACTCCGACGAAAAAATGCTGGGAAACCTTTCAAATTGACCGCATAATCTTTTGGAAAGGTCCCCAGGGATGACTGAGACCCGGGGGGACCCGAAGAGACCAGACAGCTGGGGAGGTCGTCACTCCCAGACGATTCCAGACCACGCAACGCTCAGCGGCTTCTGAACGACCTATGCTGCTTGATGGAGGCCGCGCGCTGGCGATGGTGGTGTTTCTTATTGACTCTTGGCGCCTGCGACATCCCCTGACTCTGCCCGCCCGACCTGGTGAGCCTTTGGGGACTTTTTTGGACTACCATCACCCCAGGGGGGGGGGGGTGAACAACCTGTGCATCTGTCGAGGCTGGGCGAATTGGGCGGCTAGCTGTATTTGCCTTCCGGACCATGCTTGCTGTATGTATGTTAGCGAATGATCCCACTTTTTAAACTAATTTTTAACTTTATGCTCTGTTTTACTGTAATTTATGCTTTTAGTGTTAAAGTGGGACATGCATGTTGGGAATGACTGTTTAGTATATATGAGGGGACCGAGAGTGCGGCCTGGTGCCCCCTCCACTGAGTGCAGAAGCAGAAGTGGGTGGGGGCCTGGACCCGCCTCTCGTCCCAGAGTGCATGGGGTAAATGGCCTGCCGAGGAGAACAGTGGTTGTGGGAGGGGAGGAGGGGTCTACGGAAACGGGGATGGGCCGGAGCATCCTGGTCACGTTTGGGAGAGGCAGGTACGACGGGAGTTTCAGGGCTGGCCATTACTGGGGAAGGAGGGCTCGCTATGTAACAGTGATCCCTCGTTCCGGCCCTGAAAACTCAACCCAAGGAGCAGGTGGCAAGAGATGTCAGGGGCCTGGTCTCAGGTTGCTGCTGCTAAATGCCAGGTCTGTGATTTATAAAGCTCCCCTCATCCGGGACTTAATATTAGATGAGGGGGCAGATCTGGCAT